AAAGAGGAAAGATTTGTATTTTTGTATGTATTGAAATAACTCAAAAACTACTGGGCCGATTTTAAAAATTCTTTCACCGTTAGAAAGGTATATCTGTGAGTAACATAGGCTATATTTTTTAAATTCACGCGGGCAAAGTCGCAAGCATCAGCTAGTCTATACCAATATTATAAAGAGAGTTTTATATTTTTGGATTTGTATATATTACTTAAAAACTACTGGACTGATTTCAAAAATTCTTTCACCACTAGCTTTCGCCTGCGACTCCGTTCGCGAGAATAAAATTTAAAAAAAATGTATGTGTTCTTCCAGACTATCGTCTACATCTGTACCGAATTTCAGCCGTTTAGGCTACAAACACTAACCATCCATCTATCCATTCATCCATCCATTCATCTAAACTTTCGCATTTATAATATTAGTAATTTTAAACAACTTATTTAATTGATACTGTCGCTTTAAACTCAGAGTTTGAACGTCATTCTAAATTAGGGGGGGGGGGGGTTGGTCAGCGGATGACGGTAAATGATAGATAGGAGGATGGGGTGTTTCGAAATTGACGTCATTTTTATTTATTTATTTATAGTTTATTGTTCACGTACAAAAAGATTATTTGTAAAAAGAAATTTCTTCCAGTACGCCTAGTAAGTGCAAATGTGTGAGGCGGCTATGCGTGTACAATACTAAAATAACTCATAACAAACATACAAGTAAAAATAATAAAGGTGATTCTATAATCAAAGTGTTTTAATCATGTAATACCCTATTTTTCTCAAATCTGCAATGTTTTAATTTCGTCAAACTGGTAATGACGCCAATTTTGGGAGGAGGGGGGGGGGGTGTCATTAATAAATGACGATAGGATGATTGTAGGGGGGGACGTCTAAAGTCTGAAAAAATCGGTGACGTAATTTATGGACGGCCCCTTGCGCCAATTCTATAGCACGGTACTAATTTTGTTCCTAACAGTAAGAAATAAGATTCAAAAGCTACGTTATCAGTGCATATAGGCTATCTATTTTTTTTATTTTATATTATTATATTATGGAGGTACACTACTCGATGTTTACTCGTGCAACTAATCAGTTGAAGGTGTGCGCCCGCTCAAAGTGTGGAAAAATTTAAGGTTAAAAACTGAACTAACGTTTTGATTAGATAAAACGCACAGTAATTAAGCAGAGTTGTAAAGATTGTGATAAAGTACCTACAAGTAACGTTAGAAAAGAAATTAGGTTATCAGTGTGCAAAAAAACACTACATACTGACAAAATGTGATATTTCTAAGTATGTGTATGAGTCGAAGAATTCGGAAACCCTTGTCTACTTCTATACAAATAAAAGGAAAGTTTTGTATATTCGTACTAGCTGTTCCCCTTCATCATCCGCATGAAATTATGAAAATTTTATTTCATTGTTTACATTTGTCAAAATATTAATTACAAATGTCAAAATAACATGACATGATGACCTTGCTTCCCTGATGTTGGCAGCAACAAATGTGCTCTTTCCCACATTAGGGTTTTTATCCAAAACATTTACCCCTAAGTTTAACGGCGTGAAAATATATAGCCTAAAGCGTGACGCTAGTGTAGGGCTTTTTATTAAAAAAAAGTATTATTCAAAAATATGGTGTAATTGCTGACATGTTAGGCAACAAAGAAGTGTGTGTTTACGCTTTATTATAATAGTATAGAAGTATAGATGTAACGGATAAACTAAAAAACTACTGGAGCGTGAAAAAATTCTCTCATCATTAGAAAGCTACTAATCGCTAATTGTAATAGAATATATTTTTTATTAGATTTATTTTAAACTAGCTGTTCCCATGCGACTTCATCCGCACGAAATTATAAAAACTTCATTTAATTATTCACATTTGTTAAATTATCAATTGCAAATATCAAAATTACATGATGTCAAACCATAACAACCATGCTTCCTTGAGGTTGGCAGCAACTTATGTTCTCATTCCCACATTAGGGTTTTTATCCAATTTAACCCCTAAGTTTAATAGCGTGATAATATATAGTCTAAAGAGTGACGTAAGTGTTTTATTATTAAAGAAAGGATTATTCGAAAATATGCTGTAATTGCTGACATCTTAGGCAACAAAGTGTGTGTTTACGCTTTATTATAATAGTATAGAAGTATAGATAGATTCCGTGTAGACGATGTCACGAACAAACGCTAGTCTACATTACTGTGTGTCTTTTTAAAGAGAATGTAAAAGCCAACGCCCAGTTTTAAATATTTTTTTTGAATACGCAAAAGGTAAATGTCCAAATAAATAAATATAGGCTTGGCAAGATTCAAGGTCAGTTAAATGTCAAACGACAGGACAATAATCAGTATGTTTTGAGACAGATATTAATGTTCTTAAACTTTATTTTATACGTAAATATGTAGCAGAGATGTATGTAAGAGTACATACTGTACACTACATAGGGAAAAGTATGTATTGTGTTTCAGAGGATATGCTAGAGAAGGCAATGAATTCAGATATTCAGATAGAGATGTATGTAACAGTACATACTGTACACTACGTAGGGAAAAGTATGTATTGTGTTGCAGAAGATATGCTAGAGAAGGCAGTGAATTCAGATATTCAGATAGAGATATATGTAAGTGTACATACTGTACACTATGTAGGGGAAAGTATGTATTGTGTTGCAGAGGATATGCTAGAGAAGGCAGTGAATTCAGATATTCAGATAGAGATGTATGTAAGAGTACATACTGTACACTACGTAGGGAAAAGTATGTATTGTGTTGCAGAGGAAATGCTAGAGAAGGCAGTGAATTCAGATATTCAGTATATACTGTGTCAATACTACATAGAGAAAAGTGCAGGATAATGTTACCGTAATTGCGAAGTGGACTTTCCAGACACATGGTCACTATAACGAGGCCAGTCGGTGACACTTGTTGTGACCCTATGACGTCACGTCCGGCACACAACGAGGCAATTGGCCCGATCAACCAATCAACGCTCATTGCGATGCGTACGCATTTTCATACAGCGCGTGTCACAATGTATACTTTAGAATATAGTCCGATTAACTTATCTGACCCGGTGATGACAAGTCCTGGTGGATGTTAGTCATCACGTAAATCCAGAACGGCAAAACAGATTTGGATGTACAAAGATAATTTACAG